AGAGGATTCTAGCCCTCAGCGCCTCTATCAGGAACCACCCACCTCAGGAAAACCCCCGTCGGAGGCTCCAGACATCCCCGAGCGCGTCCTGACCAGAGTCCAGGAATATAGCAAAAGGTTTGCTTTATGGCACCAAATTTGGGGCTGGCTTACTATGCAGTAACAGTAACAGTAACAAAAACAAAAACAAAAACAAACCCCAAACCCAAAAAACCCACAAAACCCTCTAGAAACGGCAGTTGTCCAGATCTACTCCCTCAGTACTGCCCAAGAGGACTGTCCTCAATTTTTTTTTTTGTCACCATAAGTAATGTTAATGAACATCAGTGTTCATGTCTTCTTATGGGCCTGTTTAAGATCTTGTTATATACTTCCAAAAATGTTGATTGTTTACAGAATTGTTAGCCTTGGGATCTGCAAAAGTCAGATGAAATGGGAAGAGTTAAAAATATGAAGTAGATGACTAAGGATAAGAAAATCCCCAAAGACATCCTCTAAGCACCACGTATTGTTATTCTATTAAGCAGTAAAAAGCCATCCGTTGGGACATCAGTCCCTCAGTGTCATTCCAGACTGTCTTGGTGCTGGGGGTATGTATGGCTGGGAACAAGATTCCTCTTAGACTTCACCTCTTTAGGGAGAGTTTTACAAGAATGTCATTCGCTTTCCTAGATCTAGATCCTAGCGGAGGTGGGGCCATCTTCTCTTATTTTGCAGAGCTTATCTTCAACTATGTAAAAACTTTCAGAGTTTTGAGGCTCAATGCAGGAATTAAGTTGGACTCAGAGAAAGAGGCAGACATGTGAAGCTCAAAACTTCTCACCCCATTACTCCCTTTTCTACAACCACACCAGCCTCTCTTGCTGTTTCCAGAACATGCTAAGCAGGGAGCTGACTGGGGTACTTTGCCCTTGTTCCTTCCACCCAGAGTAGCTTCCCCCCATGGTGACTCCTTCAGCACTCCATGCCAGTGAATCCCCAATGAGGCCCTGTCTGCATACCTTCCTTCAAGCTGTGACTCCCAGCTCCTTATCCACTTCCTTGCTTTATTTTATACAAACTACTTCATCAAGGAGCTGACATATTATAGATTTTATTAATTTATTTCCTATTGTCTGGCTCCCTCTTCCCCTCGATGTGCCACAAGAAGAGGAACTCTCAGAGGCTTTTTTCACTGTGTCTCCTCAATGCTAGACTAGCACCTGCCGTATAATAGATGGTCCTATTTTATGATTAAATACATTAATTTTCTGTACACACAGAGGTAAAGTTACTGGCTCTCCAATGATTTGCCTGACTTATAACTGGAATTTGCAACAATGTGCATATTCTTCTTCTTCCCTTAATGCGTGATGCTTAATTATGTTCCTGTTACACACATAGTCTCAAGCTCTGTGGATTATTCAGACCTTTATGACAGTTTCTATCTTGTCAACATGTTCTATGTTCTGAGACAGACTGAAGAGTAAGTTCATGGAGAAAAATGAGAGGTTAAAGGAAATCATTTTAGAAAAAAAGCTTGCGTGAAAGAAGATGGGGAATGTTTTTATACTAAACAGAAAAAGAAAAACCAAAGAAGTCCCTTCTTACTGACAATAAGCCAATAAGTACATACGAAAGAAGGACCTCCTGGATGGTAGAAGACAAAGCCCCGTCAAAGGATGCAAATTCTCTTGTAAGAAAGAAAATCCTCTTCAACCTCTTTTCTATTTCTTCATGTAAAATATAAATTCAAGGCTGCTCTGTGGGGCCCTGTCTGCATACCATGTTGCCTGGCCAACATGGAGTTCTGGGTCAGTGGTCAAAGCTGCAACCCCATTATTTTCAGTTAATAAAAACCCCGGAGTGTCACTTGATTTGTAAGGAGTCTCCTGGGACTTTCAAATACTAGACATTGTTGCACAGATCTTAGTCCTGGATCGGAGCAGTGTGCCATTCTGGTCTCCTGGCTTATTTGATTATATGCTACAAAGATAACAATGTTGCATATGAAGTCTTTCCTTTCAACTGGTAATAAATACTTGATTCCTCTACTAGTTCCAAAATAGACCAGTGCTACTTTCTTTTTCTCCTTCATGCTTATGGAGCAAAGAAATCCTATGAATGCTGGATTGATTTAATAAATAATTTGAGAGTCTGCTTCACTTAAATAACCATACATTCTCATATTGGCATCTAGAATTTGGCATATTTCAGAATCTTACTTGATAAGCTCTTCACAATCCCTACCTAGTTGTTTTATCCTGAGGTCCTGTCATCATTTTAAGGAGCCTGTGCCTAGTACAGAATGAAGCCCTGGGTTTAACATTCCGTCAGACTCATTGCTCAGTCCCTTGGGCTGCTCTCTTCTGCCTACCCTTGTAGACTCTAGCCCCATCAACTACTACTGATTCTTGGAATGTGATACCCATTTTCTTACTTCATCTGCCTAGAAGAGTTGTGTATCACCCCCACCCCTACTGGGAACATTATCTATCCTGTGCTCCTGAGGCTTTCCACACACGTCTTTACTGAGGCATTTATTTATTAATATTATTTTATCAATATTTGAGCAGGGAGATTCCCAGATTCATTCATTCATTCATTCATTCATTCAGTGGCAATGCATCCATGATTTAAAATTCAAAGAACATAAAAGGGTTACAACTGAAAAGATCCTCCCTTCATCCATGGCAGCTTACCTAGTATCCCTCTAGAGATACTTTACAATCGTATAAACATACATGTAGAAAGTTCTACTACACACTACCCTGTACTTTTTGCACTTGCCAATAGATCTTGGAAATCATCACATATCAATACCTGGAAAAGGCTGATAATATACAGTGGTTACAAATATGGCGTCTGAAGATAGATTTTTTAAAAAATTATGTTTTCACTACTCATTAGCTGTGCAACCTCAGGCAATTTACTCAACCTCTCTGAATCCCCATTTTATAATCTATAAAACAGGCATAGTAGTAATTTAACTCATAAGGTTGTTATAAAGATTAAATAATTGGATGTATGTAAGGAATCTTTTAGGACATTATCTGGCAATAAATTTAGGACATTATCTGGTAAGCAATAATTACTAGGTACTGTTATTATGAAGAAGAGCATTCTCAATTGTTTTTACCATCAGATAGAATAATGCATTGTAATTCATTCCCTTGTTTTTGATCACTCAGATTGCTCCTAGTCTTTTGTACTACAAACTGGGCTGTTGCAAAACCCTGTAATAGGCCACTTTGTACATTTTCAAGAATGGTGCCATTCGAGGTGGTGTTTGTGGGTGTAAAAATATATGCAGTGTTTTGAGAGAGATTGCCAAATTTTCCTCCATGAAAGTTTTACCTATTTTCAGGGCCACCAGTGATGAATGAGAATTACGATCACGGAGTCTTGTTCAGGAATTTCCATTCCTAACCCAACATACAATGAGCAGCCTACAGTGAACAGTAAATGCAAAATAAAATGTTAGTTAATTGGATGGAAGAATGGTTTAGGAAATACAGTTGGGTTTTGGGGGGCAGCAAGAAAAGCATTTTAAAATCCACTTGGGCATCTTCTTTGCTAGTAAAGTCACGGAAGATTATTGGAAGGCAAGGTAGAAATAGTTAATTTTGATCACTTTGAGTTAGTCTACTATTACAGAGATTTATTTTAGAACCTGGAAAGAGTAATAAATAAATATTACTGCAGTTTTGTTAATACCTTATTGCAACAGGGTGGCAGAAGATCATAAATAGAATTTTGGGCAGACTATAATTGACTTATTGGCTTTCCTGTAGCAAAATGCTTTCCTATTGTAATAATGTGTCTTCACACTTATGATGTCATGTGATTCTAATACATATGAAAAGATAGAAGGGCAAAAAGACAAATGAACATTGAGACAATAAAAGCTGCAAGCTCCCTCTACATTTATCAAAATAATCTCCAAGTTATTCCCATTTTAGAGAAGAAAGATACAGAGATCCATGCCTTATGTAATCTGCTGCAAGACACAGAGCCAAGAAGTGGCCTTGTTGTGCTAAGAACCTAGCCCTGCTCTGGGAACATAGTTGATGCCCAATAAATTTGAATAAATGAGTAGTTACCATGAAAGAATGACTGGTAGAAGCAAAGGCCTGTTTTCAGTCTTCATTTGCACTTGCCGTTCTCACAAATGTGGGGATTATGAAACAGACAGTAGATCCTACAAGCACGGACTCAAAATTTGGAAGCCTAAATTCCATTCACTCCATTTTTTGCTGTGTGAACTTGGGAAAGTTACTTCTGTTTTGCCTTATTTGAGAGACGGAGATGACTGTACCTACTTCATAGAGCGGTTCTAAGAAGTCCGCACACCCCGGGCCCTGGAACAAGCCATACCGTACCCCGAGCGTTTGCTAGCAGTATGTGCATTCCACAGATCGGCACTCAGTGGGGTTCAGTACACCCATGCTCAGCAAGTGGCGGAGCTCAAGCCAGAAGCCCATCTTTCCATTCCTATTCCGAGGAGCCGAAGAACCTCACTGTACCTTGTGCTCGCATTTGCAGCTTGGCAAGTAGCTAGCGGAGACCCACATTCGCTACCTCCTTTTTCTTGCCTCAAATATTCACACCTGACCCCACAGCAGCCGCTTTCCCCTGCGAAGGCACCGCAAAGACTGCCTCACCTCCACCCAAGACGGCCTCAGAGACTCAAAAGCTTCGGGACTTCCCTCCCTCCACCCTTGGAAGGAGGAAGGAGGCAGAACCAGAACGGTGAGGCTTTCCCGCCCGCGCAGCTCTAGTTTTCAGCTTATGTGAAGGGTTCACGACTGTGTCCCCGCCCCTTCCCTCTGGAGCGCGCCAATTTTTACTTTTGGCCTTAGGGTTCCCATCCATAATGTCATCAGGTCTAGCTGCGGCAAAGGCAGGGACTGGGCCTGGGGATGGGTGGTGCCAAGCGCCACCGTTACGTGCTGCGCGACGACACGCAGGCACCGCCAAGCCCCCCATCCGGCCCCACTTACCGGAGACCCGCTCGAGGTGTTCCTGGAGAACGTGATTCGTGATACACGGAACACCATGCGTTTTTCAATATGTAAAGCGCAACGGCTCCTTCTTGGTAAAACTTAAGTGGCTCTGAAAAGAGCCTTTGGGTTGCGGTCGGCTGCAGGCGGGCTCACTTGGCGCTGGTGTACTTGGTGACGGCCTTGGTGCCCTCGGACACGGCGTGCTTGGCCAGCTCCCCGGGCAGCAGCAGGCGCACGGCCGTCTGGATCTCCCGCGACGTGATGGTCGAGCGCTTGTTGTAATGCGCCAGGCGGGACGCCTCGCCCGCGATGCGCTCGAAGATGTCGTTGACGAACGAGTTCATGATGCCCATGGCCTTGGACGAGATGCCCGTGTCGGGGTGCACCTGCTTCAGCACCTTGTACACGTACACCGAGTAGCTCTCCTTGCGGCTGCGCTTGCGCTTCTTGCCGTCCTTCTTCTGCGCCTTGGTCACCGCCTTCTTCGAGCCCTTCTTCGGGGCCGGGGCCGACTTGGCGGGCTCGGGCATGGCGGGGACGACGGCGAAGGTGCTGGCGAGAGACGGGACGAAGGGACAGCGCGAGCAGAGCGCCACTTGTCCGTTTTATAGAGAAGCCCTTATGCAAATAAGGTGTAAATTACAGTATTCTCTGATTGGTGGCTGTTCAGGGTAACGTCAGAATTAGTTCTTCCCAATCAGAACGCAAGGATTCCAAAGCTGCCTCTCCATTGGGCGACACAAAGCCACAGCCTTAGCCAATGCGCGACCTTCCTTTTGGCGCTCGACAGGGTTATAAAAAGTGCTGGGCCGGGGCTTTGGGTTCGGCGGCTGCTCGCGGTGCGTCTGGGGCCGCGATGTCCGGGCGCGGGAAGCAAGGCGGCAAGGCGCGCGCCAAGGCCAAGACTAGGTCATCCCGGGCCGGCCTGCAGTTCCCGGTGGGCCGCGTGCACCGCCTGCTCCGCAAGGGCAACTACGCCGAGCGGGTGGGCGCCGGCGCGCCCGTCTACCTGGCGGCCGTGCTCGAGTACCTGACGGCCGAGATCCTGGAGCTGGCGGGCAACGCGGCGCGCGACAACAAGAAGACGCGCATCATCCCGCGCCACCTGCAGCTGGCCATCCGCAACGACGAGGAGCTCAACAAGCTGCTGGGCCGCGTCACCATCGCGCAGGGCGGCGTCCTGCCCAACATCCAGGCCGTGCTGCTGCCCAAGAAGACCGAGAGCCACCACAAGGCCAAGTGAGGAAGTTTAGAAACAAAGAACAAAAGGCTCTTTTCAGAGCCACTTCTATAGTCCTAAAAAGGTGACACTTGTCATTCTATGCTATCACTACGGGTTGATTTGGGAAACCCATTTCCAGTTAGGCTTTAGTCCTAGCTAATTCTTAACCCTTGTCCATACTCCAGAATTGGTTTTTAGTGGCCAAGGACGGGCTGCCCCCGCCCTAGGAAGTTAGCACAATGGCATATTGGTTATTGTGAGTTGAGGCTACTTGGGAAACAGCCAGATTATAGACACTCAGACCCTCTCCTTTAACCCGAAAGCAGGAATTAAACCTATGTGAAAAATGCCCTCCCTATATATACCAAGGTAAAAAGACATCCTTGTCACCAGAGTTAAGTGGACTCTAAAGGCTGAGGAGTTGTAGAAACAAACCTTGTTAACATTTTACTGATCTACCTGAGTTCAAATTCTGCTTCTATTTCCTCACTAATTCAGCCTCCCAAGTATGTTTTCTTATCCTGTCAAGTCCTCACACATTTGTCTAAAAAGTATAAAAACAGCCTCGGTCATTTCTTTGGGGTTGAAAATTTCAGTGGGCCTCTGCATGTAATAGAATGTGCTTTTCCTCCTGTTAAATCTGTCCTATGTCAATTTATTTCTTAAACCAGGTAGGGTAGAAGGGTACCTGAAGAGTAGAAGAAAAATTGTTTTCCTTCCCTATAATATTTAGGATACATTGCCAACAAGTTGACATTTGTGAACTAAATAGACTATTATTTCAAAGTCATTTATATTGAATATACAAGAACAAAAATTGACTCAAGATGGTTACTTAAGTCCATATCTGCAAATTAGTTGGGGGTGGTTTATGGGTGACAAATTTTACTGTCAAATCAAAGCAACTTTGGGGGGATGCAGGAGTGGTTTCCATAAATGGCACACAGAAACCCGTTGGGGTTGTCAGTAGGAAGGTAGTAAATCTTGTATCTTAAAAAACTTGCCTTTAAAGAATTTTTTAATGATGCTTACTATAAGTATTCAAGTACAATTTATAGTGTGCTAATTATCCATATTACTACCTGACAGCACATACATTACCACATTGCCAAATGAGATCTTCAATATAGCAGTACAAGCTTGGTGATCGCAAGGATGATACTGAGCGCTATTAACTTGATTCCAAGTTTTGATGATGGAGACCCACACTTTGAAGAAAAAAATAGGAACACTTCTGAAAAGCCAAAGTCTGTTTTGAGAATAGTGAGGTCAAAGATCCTGGTATGTTGTCCATGTTTCTATATAGGCAAAGCAAATCCTTTTATTCTAGACCTCAGAAAGGATTGGAATATTTATTCCACTTACTAGTTTTTCCATCTCAAGAAACAGAGACACAAAGACTATTTCTTCTGTTTCCTCTTTTATTGAATCTTAACGTATTTATACTTTCTATAAATTTTTATTATTCAGTGAATAAGTGCATTAAGGACACACCAATAAAACACTGCCTATCCAAAAGAAACTCAGTCTAATGGGAAAATCACACAAAGCAAATAATTAAAACACAATATAGCAAGAGACGTAAGTACAGGATATTCGGAGGGCATAGAAGAGTAAGATCAGTGAGAAGGAACATCTGATCTAAAGGTTAAAGGAAATTGGGAATTAGAGGAAAGTCTGGGGATCTCCACAGAGAATGAGCATCAGACTCATGGCTTGTGATATGTTCAGGCAAATGATATGAAGTTTGACACTGGCAATAAAGTGGACAGGATGGAGCCAGAGCAGATCTGCAGGCCACTCCCTGGGTTTAAAATACTACGTATATACTAATGACTCCTAAGTCTTCCATCCCAGACTTATCTCCTGAGCTCAGATGTGCATGTTCATTCTTGTGGATCTCCAGGAAACTCTAAATGCATATCCGACTGGTCAACACCATCACTACTCCAGTGGCCTTCTTAGTAGATGGCCCCACCATCCCCACATTAGCTCGAGTCCAAATGATCTGGTGTCACTGTTTGTTTTTGTGTGCCATTCTTACAGCAAAACTCAAGTTCCAGTACGGGGTGATGAGAGAAGCTTGGAAGCCCAGAAAGAGCTTAGGTAGAAGGCCACAAGATGACCAGTTTAGCACATGGAGTGTTTTGAGAAGCATGGAGTATCCGTGTCCACAGAACTAAAAATGTCCACATTTAACTAGAACCACTTGCTGCTCCTGAATAAACCTTCATATAATCAGAACCAAAAGACTAATTTAGAGAATTCAATTTACTGCTTTATCTCCAGGAGAGGGGACTCTGCCCAGCCGGCAAGAGTATTGATCAGTGGGGACAGGGACTTCTGTGGGTGCTGTTTCCCAGCCCATATGAAAGGAAGGCACTGCTTAACACTCAAGAATACCAATCTGGTTAGAATTTGGCCTTAGATTAGATCACCACGGCCTCAAGTATGCGTGTTGGGGAAAGTGAGTCGTGAGGGAGGGCTCACATCAACCTTTCCTTCCAGAGGAAGGCAGATTACTGACAGGACACAGAATACTTTCTTTTCCTGGAAGAAGGTATTAGGACATTTCTAACTGGTAAAATACTGGCACCATCCTAAATTCCAGCTGTGGAGATCACAGGTTCTACTTAAGATGAAGTCACTTACAGGAAGGCAAATAACAGGATCATGGTCGATGATTTAACAGTTAGCAGTTGTGATCTTACTACACAATTTCTAAAGTACCATGCAATTTAGAAATTTCTTTCCATCTGCTTCACAAAGTCGAAAAGGAAACGATGCAATTTGCAAGTAGTCTTCCCATATGCTTAAACGAAGTTGTGTGCGGATCTTAGTGAGATGCACACCAGAGCCCAACAAGTAAAGTAAGGGAAGTATAAACCAGAGCACAAACCTGTCAAGACAGGAAAATGCACTTATAAGGAACTTTAGTAGATACTTCTAAAAACAAAACTGTAAAATGCCCGGAAATGTGGTCTATCTGGCAGATGAAACTGCACTACAGATTACAGGGAAACAGGCCTTTTCAGCGTGCATGTGGTGGCTCTGAAAAGAGCCTTTGTGAAGGAGCGGGCAGACCGTGCGGCTCAGGCCCTCTCCCCGCGGATGCGGCGCGCCAGCTGGATGTCCTTGGGCATGATGGTGACGCGCTTGGCGTGGATGGCGCACAGGTTGGTGTCCTCGAAGAGCCCCACCAGGTAGGCCTCGCACGCCTCCTGCAGGGCCATGACGGCCGAGCTCTGGAAGCGCAGGTCGGTCTTGAAGTCCTGCGCGATCTCGCGCACCAGCCGCTGGAACGGCAGCTTGCGGATCAGCAGCTCGGTGGACTTCTGGTAGCGCCGGATCTCGCGCAGGGCCACCGTGCCGGGCCGGTAGCGGTGCGGCTTCTTGACGCCGCCGGTGGCCGGCGCGCTCTTGCGGGCCGCCTTGGTGGCCAGCTGCTTGCGCGGGGCCTTGCCGCCCGTCGACTTGCGCGCCGTCTGCTTCGTGCGAGCCATGGCTTGAACGCCCAATGCCAGTAAGAAGTGAAAACTGGTCAGGGCATTTATAGTGAGAGCCAGGAGCTGATTGGACAAAAGGGGACCAGTCGACACAACCGGGAACCGGATTGGTTAAGGACTCGAGCTTTTTCTGTACCAAACGCCCTGCTATGATTGCCGATGACCTTCATATATATGTTTTCTGTCCGCTTTCTACTGGCGATTTCCAGTAGAAATAAATGCAAGCTACATAAGAAATAGTAATTCTTCTAGGGTCCACATTAGAACAAGGTAAAACCAGGAACAATTATTTTAAATAATATTTTGTTTAACCCAATATATCCAAAATATTCATTTTGACATATAGTCAGCAATTGTTAGATATTTTACATTCCTTTTTACTTTGTACGAACACGGCGGAATAGTGTATTTTATAGATTCTGCACTTAAGTCAGACTAGCCACATGCCCAATGATTACCGGCACAATTGGCTAGTGCTTACCACACAGGTCAATTCTATACCCTCTCCTCTCAATTTCTGATTCTTTGAATACTTAAAATTTAAGATTTGTTTTTATTTTTCAGCTAGAAAAATATAATTTGCATGTGAGCAATCCAAGGCAAGGAATTTCACAAAGAAACACATCCTTACATGACCTTTTCATTTTCAGATAATATAAGACAATCCCATTACAGCATGCTTTATTTTTCCGCTATCCTGGAAATTCAAAATTATAACAAACCTATTGTCTTGTTCAATTTGGGGGTGGACAGGCTGGCTCTGCGATGGGCATGAAGCATGCATGTATGTCTGTAATTTAACATAATTACTCATAATTCCTTTGTCTTTTTTTTTTTTTAAGATTTTATTTATTTATTTGACAGAGAGAGACACAGAGAGAAAGGGAACACAAGCAGGGGGAGTGGGAGAGGGAGAAGCAGGCTTCCCGCCAAGCAGGGAGCCCGATGCGAGGCTCGATCCCAGGACCCTGGGATCAAGAACTGAGCCGAAGGCAGATGCTTAACGACTGAGCCACCCAGGCGCCCCATAATTTCTTTGTCTTAAAGAATCGAATCCCCCCCTCCCCCCCAGTAAGCTATATGGGGAAAAACTAAGCCACCCCTTTGCATCTACATCCAGTAGTTCTAGTTAGCAACTGGCAAAACCATAGGATAGGTTCACTGCATGGCATGATGCATCTTGATGCCTACTGAGCTAGAAGTTACCAAGGCAGGCAATTATAAAATCTAATTTCATTCGTGAATCAAGACCTTTAAGTCACAATTTTAAAAAGGCATTTAAAAAAGTTAATCAGCTACCGGCTAACTTTTCAAATCAAGAGGCTGATTAAAAATTATTTCCTCAATGTAGCAATGTGAAAACATAGGTCAGATTAGGTGTGCCTCAGAATTCTAAAGGCTCTGAAAATAGTTTTGGATTAGTATGGAGGTTTGGGTTGATCACTTTATCTTCAGAATGTCTTTAATTACCAAGAGACAAGAAACAAGTTTTTTGAAACTGCTGTTTGCCTCAAATCCACCGCCAGAATTTACACCTTTGAGGCTTAAAATGGGAGGTTAGTAACGTCAGTAATTGTAAAGGAGACCCTCCATAATGTATTTATCAAATGCTGATGAATGCAAACCAGTCTTTAGAATATTTCCCTGAAAGCATAGGGTTTTAAAAATTTCAGGCTTTGCAAAAGCTAACTTTGATCAAATTGTCCTCCCTTAACGCAAGTTGTGAGGTTGATGTAAACTGCGGTAAAGTGAAGGTTTTTGAAAAGTGTTCAGTTCTTCACAGAAAGTCGTAGGTGGCTCTGAAAAGAGCCTTTTGGTTTGGACAGGGGGTTGGAGGCGCACACCCTGCTAGAGTGCTACTTGCCCTTGGCCTTGTGGTGGCTCTCGGTCTTCTTGGGCAGCAGCACGGCCTGGATGTTGGGCAGGACGCCGCCCTGCGCGATGGTGACGCGGCCCAGCAGCTTGTTGAGCTCCTCGTCGTTGCGGATGGCCAGCTGCAGGTGGCGCGGGATGATGCGCGTCTTCTTGTTGTCGCGCGCCGCGTTGCCCGCCAGCTCCAGGATCTCGGCCGTCAGGTACTCGAGCACGGCCGCCAGGTAGACGGGCGCGCCGGCGCCCACCCGCTCGGCGTAGTTGCCCTTGCGGAGCAGGCGGTGCACGCGGCCCACCGGGAACTGCAGGCCGGCCCGGGATGACCTAGTCTTGGCCTTGGCGCGCGCCTTGCCGCCTTGCTTCCCGCGCCCGGACATCGCGGCCCCAGACGCACCGCGAGCAGCCGCCGAACCCAAAGCCCCGGCCCAGCACTTTTTATAACCCTGTCGAGCGCCAAAAGGAAGGTCGCGCATTGGCTAAGGCTGTGGCTTTGTGTCGCCCAATGGAGAGGCAGCTTTGGAATCCTTGCGTTCTGATTGGGAAGAACTAATTCTGACGTTACCCTGAACAGCCACCAATCAGAGAATACTGTAATTTACACCTTATTTGCATAAGGGCTTCTCTATAAAACGGACAAGTGGCGCTCTGCTCGCGCTGTCCCTTCGTCCCGTCTCTCGCCAGCACCTTCGCCGTCGTCCCCGCCATGCCCGAGCCCGCCAAGTCGGCCCCGGCCCCGAAGAAGGGCTCGAAGAAGGCGGTGACCAAGGCGCAGAAGAAGGACGGCAAGAAGCGCAAGCGCAGCCGCAAGGAGAGCTACTCGGTGTACGTGTACAAGGTGCTGAAGCAGGTGCACCCCGACACGGGCATCTCGTCCAAGGCCATGGGCATCATGAACTCGTTCGTCAACGACATCTTCGAGCGCATCGCGGGCGAGGCGTCCCGCCTGGCGCATTACAACAAGCGCTCGACCATCACGTCGCGGGAGATCCAGACGGCCGTGCGCCTGCTGCTGCCCGGGGAGCTGGCCAAGCACGCCGTGTCCGAGGGCACCAAGGCCGTCACCAAGTACACCAGCTCCAAGTGAGCCCGCCTGCAGCCGACCGCAACCCAAAGGCTCTTTTCAGAGCCATCCACCCTTTCTATGAAAAGAGCTTGTTCGCTGTTTAACTTTGGTAAAAAGTAGAGGTGAACATTAATTTTTTCTACATAAGTAGTAGTATGTAAACTAGTGTTCTAGATAATTGATTTTGGGATTTGCCTCGTGCCTATTTCAGCGTTTAGCTTGCAGTTGCTTTTTAGTATATTTCGTCTAGTGAGACACTAATGCAAATAACACCTCGCATCTCTGGAAGTCCTGTGGAGATCCTCTCCTAATAGTTCCTGGCTCCTTCAGCTTTATTTGGGTAGGCCTCACTAAATGGCCTCTAGAGTTAAAGGATTAAGCAGGATCTTGGAGTGGTAGGTCTCAGTGGATGAGACCAGAACTAATCATCTAGTATGTCTGGTTCTTGCTCCCCAGGCTGAAGTAGGGCCACAGCCTCCATCTTTTAAAGCTGCATTTGGGAGGTAATGTGTTAGGACAGTAGTGCTGACTGGAAACTTGGTGACTTGGTGTCACCAGGCAGTATAATGTAGATCGTGTTCCGCTTTTTACTTTGTCAACTAGTTAACTCCCTCAGGTCAGCCCTGCAGGTATCCACACCATGGTCCCTTGGCCCACCATCTCCCATTAAAATTTCAAGCATTGTTAAAGGCCTATTAGCGGTGTAACCAGTATGGTTTGCAAAATAAACCTGAGTTCTTTCTCGTGGAGCTGAGTGAAGAGCTGGAAATGTTTCTTCTCCACCTCTTCAATTCTCTAAAATAATATTCCCACTAATGCAGCATGTCTTTTCATTTCTGTTGGCAGGGAAGTCTGGTTGGTGCCTCTGATGACGGGAAACCATATTAAAGGCATGCCTGGTTTGGGTGCTGTGTTGGACCAGCAGCAGTAAATCCAGGAAGATTTACCGTTAGCACCTTTGCTCAAGAGTAAGGACCTGCAGAGTGCATTGCAAGAACAAAACATGTGTGGCCAGGTTACCTCTTCAGGCTCACTTTGAGATTTGCTTACTCAAAGCAGCCACCATTTTTCACTCTCACATTTATCCCGCACACTGGTCTCGGGTACCTCATAGGCACTAAGAAATGTACCTGCAATGGGAAAGTCCCAGCTTCTTCCAAAGAAACAGTTAAGAAAATACGGACTCTAAAACAAAACTGGGAAACTAGCAAAATGGAGTCTGCTGAACGGGGCAGATGGTGTAGCGGGGAGGGGAGGCGTGCTCCAGGTCGAGTACCCGGGACCTAGAAATCCTCTAGCATGGCTGGAGGCTGGGATGGCCAGAGATGAATGTGGAAAGATAAGTAGAAGGTGGGGCAGTGAACCTTACGATACTGAGGAGCTTTGTACACCTTGAAAAGAAATATAAAGTTTATCTACTAGAGGAAGGCAGACTCTGCAGAATTTTAAAATCTTGTAAAATGTATGATTCAGATTCATTATTCTGGTGGCCCAGTTGAGAACGAATGGAAAGGGGGTGAGATCCAGGTGAAAAGTTTGGAAATACCAGCCAGGAGTGAGGTTCTGAACTAAGGAGGAGGCAGAAAGAGGAGGAGGGGGAGAAAGGGGGTTAAGGGGGAAAAAGAAGCAGAACGGTGAGGCCTTGCTGCAGACTGACGGTGAAGGAGGACAGGTTGGAATGTCTTGCTTTCAGCTTGTGCAACATCACTACTCAAGAAAGGGTTTCAGAAAGTGGGCTTGGGAGGAAAGCAGACTTGCCATGTTCATTCTGACTCGATGCCCCAAAGCACCTAGGCATATATTGAATATCTAAAGCTTAAAGAGTTTGAGAAAACTGCAGAAGGAGAAAGATCCCTTGGACCCGCCCCCCCCCACTCCCTGCTCCGCCCTTCCCTGAAAGCAGGAGATAAGCCTCCCCTGGGACAGGCACCCACCCTGTACCCTGAGGGAAGGAGGCCTGCTTATCACCAGAAGGAATTTGGGGCTGAAAGGCCACAAGAAAAAACCTTATTTCTTCAACTTACTACCCCAAGCCCAAACCTCGTTGTCTTGTCAATTCTTCACAAATTTATCTCTTCTAAAAATATGAAATCTCCCTGACTAGTTGCTTCGGGACTTCCTTCTCTTGTGAGGGCTGCCATGTAACATAAAAATTCAACAAAACGTGTGTGCTTTTTTCCGGTCAGTTTAATTCCTAGGCAGAAATCCAAAGAGGACAGAGAATTTTTCATTCCCCTACCTTTCATTTAATAAATACTCATTACCCCACTGCCGTGAGCCAGGCACTACTTTAACGTAACATTATGACAGTGAAGGGGTTCAGAACAAGTCTCCCCCAGGTGCCATGGACACATGGACTATTTTGAACTAAAGTCAACTGAGAATACCACGGGTCAAGAGAAACTTTTGCCCTCCCTTGCCTTAAAGAATTTAAGTAAGGGGTTGATAACAGAGAGAGAGAGAGAGAGAGCTATTATCAGACATAACTTTTTTAATGTGAAAGACAGCTTGGCGGGGCAGACATGTGATTATGAAACTCTAATCTTATCTGCTGTGGATTGTCCTCCCCTCCGTAGCCCCAGGCCCTTCTCCCATTCCTTAGCTGGGGATGTCATAGAAGCCTTAATTGCTTGACTGCCTTTAAGTCTTATTTTTTACAGGGCTTCTGTACTTTCGAAATTGAATGTTTTTGTCCTGTTAATCTGTTTTATGTCATTTTAATTAGTAGATAAGCCAAAGAACCTAGAAGGAAATAAGGGGAAAATGTCCAGCTCCTACAATATACAAAGATGAAGAACTCACTCTTTTAAAGATGTCTGTTTTTCTGCCCCAGTTAATCAGTGCGATGCAGTTATGATAAAAAATTCCAAGAGGGTTCCTTTTTCCTTTAAACCTGAAACAAGTTACGGTATTTTGAAGGGGAGCAGAATATACCATCTCAAAATATGCCTCTTTGAGTATGTATGATAAACTTACATGCACAACAGTTATTGCTGAATGTGGTAAGAATTTTGTGGAAAATGTAGTAATATTAATCAAATACCACAACATCTACATCCTCTCTGACAAAGCATTTCAATTCTAGGTTATCCTCAAGAAATAAATTATGTACAGATCTCCTTTAAAATAGAAAAAATAGAAAGCACATTATGTTAAATACTAGAGATTTTACTTAAAATGTATCATAGAAAATGCTTGTGATGGAGTACTACACAGACATAAATAATCCCTTTTTTCACTTTCCCTAGTGTAAGTTTTCCAAAGATTCAACTGAAAATAGATTTCCTTTGGCAAAGGAAATTGACTAAACTATAGAACAGAATAGAATTTTTAGTAATGGTTCTGTCAGAGAGCAGGAGGCCCTTCTAGCCTCCAAACTGACATGAGACAGATTAGCAGGAAAATACCAAGTTGACATAAGACAGATTAATAAGAAAAGATAAACTATAATGGTATACATACCAGGAATCCATACAGATATGAAATTTCAAAGACAGTCAAGTAAAATGAAGTATATATGTCTTTCTGAACTAAGGAGAAGGGGATGGGAGTCTGGAACTTCAAAGGGGAGGAATGTAATTCACAGGAAGAGTAAATGCCTGGTAAATAAAATGTTTCTGGGCCACTCAGAAACAATGGAACATAAAGGGCTTTGATCAAACCGGCCTTGCTCCCCCCCCATCATCTGTACCTAGCGCATAGTATAAAACAGTTCTCTGCTGTGATAACTCTCTTCCTGGAGCAGGTCCTCTATCTAATTTCCTTTTAAGCAGTTGTGGAGGAGGTAAAAAGCTTTTCCAAAATTTGCTGGATTTTACTAATCTTCACGTCAAAGGGAGCCATCGTAGGGTGGCCTGCCTTTGGCCCCTACAGTTCCAAGTATAGTGTTAAAAGTGGTACATCAATCAATAGGGAAAACAATTATTTTAAACATGTGGCTTATTAAGGAATTGCCAGGGAATTGGTTAAAGTGTGCTACAGAGAATTCTTAAGAAGGAGTAACAAGTAGATATTAAAAACAACTTTTTTGGTCTTTAGAAAAGGGAAATTAAAATGTAATCAGTGTAAAGAAGTTCCCAAACGTCATACACGGCACTGTGAATTTTCTTTGAAAAAATATGTGCACCTATCTATTCACCAAAGTCCCAAACTAGCCAGCAGGACTAAGTGTTCCCTGTGTGCTGGGATAAAAGGTTGTTATCTTATTACTTCCCTTTTTTGTATTTCTCACAACATTCGCGCTTGGCGTTCGCATTGGAAAGCAATTTTTAAAGTTTTCAAACAGAGTAACAAAATGGTTACGAGGTACAAACAAAACAGTACAGGAAACCTAAGACTTTTTTTTTTTTTTTTTTTTTTGTCTCGTCACATTCCCTCCCCCCACGGGGTGGCACTTCCCGTCTGTCTGAGGTTCTCAGTTCGGTCCGCAGCAGCGGGATAAAGGCTGCAGCACGGGGGCCGGGACCAGACGTTGTGCGGGCTCCGCTCTCGGCATGTCGGGCCGCGGCAAGGGCGGGAAGGGCCTGGGCAAGGGCGGCGCCAAGCGCCACCGCAAGGTGCTGCGCGACAACATCCAGGGCATCACCAAGCCCGCCATCCGGCGGCTGGCCCGGCGCGGCGGCGTCAAGCGCATCTCCGGCCTCATCTACGAGGAGACCCGCGGGGTGCTCAAGGTGTTCCTGGAGAACGTGATCCGGGACGCCGTCACCTACACGGAGCACGCCAAGCGCAAGACGGTCACGGCCATGGACGTGGTCTACGCGCTCAAGCGCCAGGGCCGCACCCTCTACGGCTTCGGGGGCTGAGCGCGCCGGGCCCCCCGTACTTCCAAACACCAAAAGGCCCTTTTCAGGGCTCCCCCCACTTTCACCCGAGGAGCCGTGACACTGGCTTGTTGGCGATCGCTGGTCCGCGTGGCCAGGTTTCGCTGCGGGTCACCGTCACCCGCACAGGCCGCTAGTCCCGCCAACCAACCCTGCACCTAGGCTTCTTCCCCTAAGTTGGTTTGGTATCTTAGGAGCTGCGGAACTTCCTCCTGGAGGTATGTCCTGTGACAGCTTTTAGGGCTTGTTGGCTCCGCACAGCTTCCTTTTGAAGACTGCTGTTCTGTGGACACACTGGGAAAACCCTTCTACCTCCGGGAAAATCCTGGCAAATGTCCTAGTGGAGAGTCGGCTTGAGAGTTGGAAAAGTGTTCAGACCAAAACTCAGAAACTTGTGTTCTGTCAGGAAAATGGCAGTTTTTAAGTCATTGATTATAGTCGACCTCAGCTTGTAAATGCAACCTGGCTTGGCAACTCAGAAGGTCACTTATTAGCCTGGAGGGACAATTAATGGCCTATTGCTGGTCTCCATCACTTACCACAAAGAGTAGAGCACTTTTAAAGTTCGTAAAGGTATTCTTGTTTGTCTTGTAAGGATGGTGATCATAATTGGCACTCCTTCAGCCTTTGAGGGAGAAACGATGTGTGCGTCGTTGGTGATTGCAAGTAAAAAGTAACCGTTAATGTAACATTAAGCAAATGCAAGTATGTTCCATTCAATTTAAAAAGTATAATTGTTAAGCATATTAAAACATTTTATCTGGTTAACAAGCATGTATAGTTTATTTTTTATTTGCTCTTTTTCCTATTGCATCATATATAACAAAACAGTTCTCACAATTTTATGTGGTTAATCACAAATACAAACTATGTCTCTTCTCATGAAATGAGAAACTATGTGTGGCCCAGTGGCCACTTGGGAAACTACAGGAGTTTAGATATAAGTAATACCTTAAAGGTTTCATTATTCAAAATTTAGGGCCTGGACTTAGGAAAAGTATTATCAAGAAGTTTTGAAAGTTTCATTAAATCAGGCTATGAACATAAGTCAGATAGCTAAAGACAAGTACTAGAATATTAGCTATAAAAATAGCATTGAAATAATATATAGAATACTTAGGGATTTTTTTTTTTTTTTTTTGGTTTTTAAGAACTGAGAGACTTTTATCAAAATCATTCAAGAAATTAATGGAAAGCAGGGTGCCTGGGTGACTCAGTTAAGCGTCTGCCTTTGGCTAAGGTCATGATCACAGAGTCCTGGGATCAAGCCCCACGTCGGGCTCCCTGCTCAGTGGGGGAAGCCTGCTTGTCCCTCTCCCTCTGCCTGCCGCTCCCCCAGCTTGTTCTATCTCTCTCACTGTCAAATGAATAAATAAAATCTTTTTTTTAAAATTTTATTTATTTATTTGAGAGAGAGAATGAGAGAGAGCACATGAGAGGGGGGAGGGTCAGAGGGAGAAGCAGACTCCCTGCCGAGCAGGGAGCCCGATGCGGGACTCGATCCAGGGACTCCCGTATCATGACCTGAGCCGAAGGCAGTCGCTTAACCAACTGAGCCACCCAGGCACCCATGAATAAATAAAATCTTAAAAAAAGAAAGGAAGTAATGGAAATCCACAAATACATAATTGACCCTCAGAAGGTGTTGGGGGGATAACCCAGGAAACCGCTGCACAAAGGTAGTAGGAAACAGAAGTTTTATTATTGAATAAGTGTTAAACCAGAATGTGATGCGTATCACAGGCAATCTGCTACAGGAATAGCAAAGACAAAAAGAAATCTCACTCTGTTGGGTAGCTAAATGGACACAGCCCATCTAAAATACTGTAGTGTTGCAATTCGGAGTCATATGTTAGCTGGAGTTAGGCCAAGTCTTCCCAGGAAAATGGGAGCTCACCGTCATTAAGGCAGCACTGTATTTCAGAGGCCTCTAGGGTCCTTGAGGAAACATTCCTGAGCCAGGCTACTTGCACATTTAGCATTTGACCTTACAAGGGTTAAAACTTGATGAGACAAGGAGATTGACATTCAAATTTTGAGGTGGAACGTTAATTGGCGTGACAGTTGGAAGTTGAAAGTTTTTAACTTCAGCTTTAAAATGTATACATCTCATCATTGCTTACCCTTTTGGGCAATTGCTACTTCAGTCTGTATCTGCATTAGCCAAGCTTCCTACCAACACCCAAGTTTTCCCCTTTGACTTTGGGTTTCTTTCTCTAGTTAAGACCCCCTCTGGGAGAATCCTAAAAATTACTTGGAGCATAGGTCTGGATTTACGGCCTAATTCCGTGTTTTTAATTCCTTTTGCACTCTGTACCAAGGATCCCTTTTTAGTAGCTCTCCTGGGCTAGGGGCTGCCTTTTCTCACGGCAACATTTCTGTAATGCAACCTTGTTTCCCTTATCATTTAGTTGACATGCCTTTTAACTGCATCCCACCCTCACCAACTGTTCTGTGGGGTATCGGCCTGGTAAATCTAGGAGCTTCCAGTCTCCACTCCCAGGGAACACCAGGACAGGAGTCCAGGGCCCATCACATGCTTGGTCTCTCAGGAACGGTCACACTGTTGCTCTCCAATTACGTCTACTTAACACTCAGAGGACACCTGACACGAGAATGGAGAGGACGAAGTTGTAGGGCCTCGTGAACACGGAAACGCTCCTTCTCACGAATTCAGCGCTGAGGGACCTGTTCTTGTTCAACCCCAAAACCTGCACCCCGTCCATACCGAGAAAGCCGTTCTGCTCAAGTCCTAAACCCGTTTCCTTCCAACTGTCACGCCAATTAACGTTCTACCTCAAAATTTGAATGTCAAGTGTTCAATATAAGTGCCAACGTTATTTGCTTAATACAACTCTCCAAAAACCTGCGTGAAAACATGGAAAATTACAGGACCAAGCTCTTCTCTAGTTGTACGCAGGGAAACTTTGGAAGGGAATGGATATATAAAAAGCCAACTAGGTCACGGCTCCTCGGATGAAAGAGTGGGGGCCCTGAAAAGGGCCTTTGGTTCCCAGTAGGAAGCGAGCTGGGAAGCCGGGGCTCAGCCCCCGAAGCCGTAGAGGGTGCGGCCCTGGCGCTTGAGCGCGTAGACCACGTCCATGGCCGTGACCGTCTTGCGCTTGGCGTGCTCCGTGTAGGTGACGGCGTCCCGGATCACGTTCTCCAGGAACACCTTGAGCACCCCGCGGGTCTCCTCGTAGATGAGGCCGGAGATGCGCTTGACGCCGCCGCGCCGGGCCAGCCGCCGGATGGCGGGCTTGGTGATGCCCTGGATGTTGTCGCGCAGCACCTTGCGGTGGCGCTTGGCGCCGCCCTTGCCCAGGCCCTTCCCGCCCTTGCCGCGGCCAGACATGGCTGTGGGAAGCTCTGTGCGAGTCGGACAAAGCTATGGCCCTGCTCGTCCGGCAGGACTAATTATAAGCAGAGGCCGGACCTCGTTGAGAACTGGAAGCGCGGGCGGGACCCGCGGCCCCGCTGCCCCACCCCGGGCTCCGCCCCCTCTGGGCGGAGCTCCAATGACTGTGGAACAGGGGGCAGGGCAGCTTCCCGTGGAAGCTCTGCATTTCGCTGAGCCCGTTGCTATTTGTATCTGCGGCTCTCTTCCTATGAGAAAGTGAGTAGGGGCTTCTAGTTTACAACGGGGCACAGTCGTTTCTCATTCAGAAGGGAATGATTGTTAGCTGGGAAGGGAACCCTAAGATGCCACCCCAAAAGAGGAGTGTAGGGGTCCAGGACAAACCGTCTCAAAATGGGCCACTTTGGTATGAAGGGTAGCAGAATATGCCACCCCAAAATATGCCTCTTTGGCATAAAGACTGCTTTTTGAGCAGATTATTTTTAAGAAACGCCAGACGCAGGAAAAATCTCTAAAATCAGAGTAGAACTCTCTTTCTTAAGGGACATGTTACATTTATAAAGGAGATCTCCATCTGTAAGTGTCTCCCTCTCAGTACCAGAAAGAGAAGGATGATTAAATGATGATTAAATCAGTTTTGTCCATGGAGAAGGCCCGAACTTAATTCTGCATCACAGCCTTGTTTACCTTTTCCTGGTAACCCATACCCGGCTCCCTGTGTGCTCTCCTCCCACATCAACATCTTTTAGCGGAAGACGGTATTTTAGGCGGTGGCTTGGGCCTTTCCAGGGAGTTTTACTCACTTCTTCAGAGTATCTCTCATGTATACAGGACGTATACATGTTATTAAACGGCTGTTTGTTTTTCTCGTTAATCTGTCTTTTATTATGGGGGGAGGCTCACAGCACGTAGAAGGGTAGAGGGGAAATTATTTTTCCTCCCCTACACTGTTCTTTTTATTACATCAATATTTTAAATGATGGTTGTATTACAGGTCATAATTTGGCACTGCAGGTCCCATTATTTCTTTTCAAAAGTTTCTCATCTAGTTTCACAAGATTCCTTTTTTGTGTGTAAGTTTAGAATCATTGTAGTGGTTTGGAAAAAAATCCCTTTGAGCTTCTGATCATGATTGCATTAAGTATAAATTAATTAGAATACAATCAAAGCCCTACAAAAATCAAATACTTAAATTCAGAAACTTTGTGCTTCTAGTTGCTTTTAAGCCTTTTAATTTTAATGACTAAAAATTTTGTTTTTTGTTTTGTTTTTAAATTTTGGTTTTTATATAATATTTACTACGGGTTAATTTTTTGCATACATTGAATTTTATTTGTAAAAAACAAATACAGGATCAGACTTTGAAATTCTTGACCCTAACATAATTTTGTAAATTCCTCTAACTAATGTCACCCATTATTCAATTGTTTTCAAAAGTTCTTACTAGCCGAAACTCTCCTTAGAAAAACCTCATTTTAGGGGTGCCTGGGTGGCTCAGTCGTTAAGCGTCTGCCTTCGGCACAGGTCATGATCCCAGGGTCCTGGGATGGAGCCCGCATCGAGCCCGGCATCGGGCTCCCTGCTCAGCGGGAAGCCTGCTTCTCCCTCTCCCACTCCCCCCGCTTGTGTTCCCTCTTTTGCTGTCTCTCTGTCAAATAAATAAATAAATAATCTTTAAAAAAAAGAAAGAAAACTTCATTTTAGATTGTCTCTCCTCTACCAATTGGGTTTGGGGCACTTGCTTATGTCTTCTAAATCTTTGCTCATCTGGAGTGGGATTAGGATAGTAACAATACTTACCTCATAGAGTTATTTTAAGAACTAACGGAGAGGCAACTGCGGGGCTCAGTTGGTTAAGCGTCCGACTCTTAATTTCACCTCAAATCATCATCTCAGGGTAGTGAGTTCAATCCCTACGTTGGGCTCTGTGCTGGGCATGGAGCCTGCTTCGGATTCTCTGTCTCCCTCTACCCATTCCCCTCCCACGTCTCTCTAAAAAAAAAAAAAAAAAGGAGATAATTGATATAATATACTGAGTATACAGAGTATGCTTCTATGTAATATAATAAGCAATTTTTATTTTTAGTACTAAATTTAAAATATTTTATATTTGTATTACTTTAAAATATTTTTACTTTGGGGCACCTGGGTGGCTCAGTCGTTGAGCGTCTGCCTTTGGCTCAGGTCATGATCCCAGAGCCCTGGGATCGAGCCCCGCATCCGGCTCCCTGCTCACTGGGAAGCCTGCTTCTCCCTCTCCCACTCCCCCTGCTTGTGTTCCTGCTCTCGCTATCTCTCTCTGTCAAATAAATAAATAAAATCTTAAAAAAAAATTTTCTTACTTTAATAAACATGGACTTAAAACATATTCTACATTATATATAAAATG